GGAGATTGTTGGAAAGCCCTTGAAAGGCTTCCTTGCCGATGCCAAATAGATCTAGGTTTGGCAGTGTCTGGATGGGAGACCTCTGGGGAACCCTGTGGTCATGACATCTGGTCATGACATCTGCATACACTTTTCTTATCGCAATTCAAACTGACTTTGGCAAATGGGCTCCTCCCGATAACACAAGATTAACTGGAAACATACATAATTTATCACAAAGTGGCAAGAAACATGGATAGGTATACCCAATGTGGAGAAGATGTAACCCAGGTTAGAAGGATCTTGGTAGGAGCTATAGTGGATTATAACTGAATACAATCTCAGCAGTTTATGCAGAGTGTGGGAGGTGAATGCCATTTGGGGCTGCATCTGTTGTTGCACTGGGTGTGCTGGGCATAGGAAGTAATAGCACTGTTCAGTCAAAAACCAAGCCAAACCAAACCAAACCCAAGGAAGCCTCCCTAAGAAGTTGTAGAATCTTCTTTTCTGCTGTTTTTTTTTTTTATAAACACACTGTAACTGAAGGGACAGTATGTGCAATTACTAGGAGTGTCACAAGGGTTGAAACCAAGCCCAGCTGATGTGTACGAGGTAGCCAGAGAACCAGAGCTTCTTAAAAATGGAAATTTCTGGGCAATCTAGGAAAGGAAATAATATTTTACAGGAGAATGTTAATTCTCACAGAAACTGAAGTAATATTTTGAAAGAGGATAAATTTGTTTTATTTATTTATTTAAATATTTGTACCCTGCTTTTCTCCTGAATGGGGATACAAGACAGCTCATAATCCTCAAAACCACCACCTTGGGAGGTCGGGTAGGCTGAGAGAGAGTGACTGGCCCAAGATCACCCAGTTCCTACTGCAACCCTCTAACCACTATGCTACACTGGCACATTAACTGGAACAAATACAATGGGGAAGTGGGGAAAGAAAAGGACACTTGTCTCCTTCCCTTCATGGGCAGAAAGCAAAATAGGAGCTGCAGAGTCAATGGAACTTATAGAAAAGGGAAGCAGAAATGAGCCATAAATCAGCAATGCTCACATGTGGGCTTTTTGGAGCAGACCTTGCCTGTCCTTAACCAGTAATATGGATGTGGGCTTTTTGGAGCAGACCTTGCCTGTCCTTAACCAGTAATATGGATGAGGACCAGATCAGGCTGAAACATCATGAAGTGGTGCTGGAATGGGCTGAAGCTTTTCACTCTGGGCACTGAAGACAATTCTCCCACTACTTACACTATCAAATCAGCACTGATGCAAACTCTTGGTAGGTGATGCCACTTCTAATAACTATAAATTTAGCTCCCATCATTACGTCAGCCCTTCCCAGAGCTGCTGCTTCTTTTGTTGATGGTTTGCATTTGACAGGAGCAACATATTAATTGGCAAAGTCTGCCTAGGACTGTGCACCCACTTAAGTGCTCTAACTTTGGTGATTAATGAATGAAAGGCTTGTTTATTTAGTAATAAAGAAAGCAGGAAGTTTACCAATAACACACCTTACCAAAGCCCCAATATAAATTGTAAAGTAACAGCTCTCTTAGCAACCACGGGCAAAATGGTTCATGCTCCTCCTCACTCTCATTAAAGGCTGTTTCCATGTAACTCAAAGATGGCTGTGTGCGCAGGCACAGAGTTTAAGCACACACTGTGTAATTCTAGCTATGCTCTGAAGTACAGCTGTGGAGAGAGGAGGGGGGAATGCATAATTCTCGTCTTCCAAAACTCTCTTCAGAGAGGAAATGAGCCCAGATGAGAGAATCCATCAAGGATGTGTACAAACTTTTAAAAATGTCACTCTCTGTATCTATGGTTGTTTTCTCTTTTGCAGCACTGTTGCCTTCGGTATCTGTATGCAAACAGGAGCTTCCTTCACTATAAATCAGCCCCCTCCTCGTACCCAGAGCATCTCATGATGTCACAGCCAACCCGAGATGTTGCTAAATGACCGACTGGAGCTTCCAGATGTTTGTGGGGAAGAAAAGCTTCTGTTTACATACTGACAAAGAGGGAGCAACAGGAGATTATTGTTAACTGGAACATATTTCAATGTGTTCAGTCTGAAGACTGGCTCATATTTATAATTGTGGGCCAGAAGCATGACACTGTGCCAGCTCCCTAATTAGCAATAAGATGACGATTGTTTTCATTGAGGCTGTGGAAGTCACAAATCCTTAGAGGAACAAGAGGTGCCTCCTAGCATCTCAGCAGGCAAAGTTTGCTGGAAAGATTTCTCCCTTCTAGGCAGTGGCTGCAGCTAAAACACATGTAAAACAAATGCACCTCCTTTCTACTTCTCCTCCCTGGCAGTGACAGCTGGGAAAGAGGATTTCTTTATTGATCTTCCAAAGGTATTTATTTATATTTATTTGATTTCATTTATAGCCCTCCTTTATCCCTTGTGTGGATCCTAAGAGGCTTACATTGTTCTCCTATCCTCCATTTCATCCTCACAACAAGCCCGTGAGGAAGATTAGGCTGAGAAAGTGTAATTGGCCGAAGGTCACCTGGTAAACGCCCAGGGCAGGGTGGGTATTTGAACCTGGGTCTCATGGAGCCACTCTGAGCACTACACCATACTGGATCTCATCCAAGTAGCCTTGCTTATGGCCTGGGAAAATATGCTTCCTTTGCGCTGTCCCTCACAGAGGGTGCATCCACACATCACTGAACATGGTACTATCATTACACTATTGCAACCCTTTGTAACAGATTTCTTGTCCACACAGGATAATCTGGTTTGAGTGACAGCACAAAGAAAGTACAATATCCAGTGACATGTGGATAAAGCCCTCTTAGCCATTCAAGACTAGAGTGGTGTGGACTGTGCTGCCTGTTCTAAAAATCCTTCAGGTATTCTTTTTTTCGAATACATATGTATTAATTTTCTGTGGTTCCAGTGCTGTCTTGTGCTTCTGTTGCAGGATATCACATTTTGAAGCATTCAAAACACAACAGTTTGTACTGGAGAAAATGTGGTGCTCCCCCCAAGGATGGAATGCTTCTATTAATATTGTGCTTACCATGCAAGAGAGAGGGGGGGGGGTGTTCCTTCATGGGCAATCCCATTTTGTGAATGTTCTTTTCAAATTTTATTTTTAAAATTAAAATGATCATTAAACGTTACATGCTGTCACATTAAACTACAACACTATGCCCTGACCTGGATAGCCCAGGGGCAAGCCCAGTCTCATTGGATCTCAGAAGCTAAGCAGGGCCGACCCTGGGAAGAACTTGGATGGGAGACCTCCAAAGAATACCAGGGCCAGTACACAGAGGCAGGCAATAGCAAGCCACCGCTCTGAAACATCCAAGCCCCACTAGGGGTGGCCAGGAGTCAACCATGACTTCCAGGCATGCGCGCGCGCGCGCACACACACACACAAAGTACTCACAATTTTAAAAAAACAACTACAAAACTTCAGTGGTTATTGTACCCTCTTTTACATGATAGTCACAAAACTAACAGTGCACAACAAATTGGTTTGGTGTAGTGGTTAAGTGCGTGGACTCTAATCTGGGAGAACCGGGTTTGATTCCCCACTCCTCCACTTGCACATGGCTGGATGGCCGTAGCTCTGATAAGAGCTGTTCTTGAAAAAGAGCAGTTTCTGTCAAGAGCTCTCTGAGCCCCACCCACCTCACAGGGTGTCTGTTGTGGGGAGTGGAAGGGAAAGGAGTTTGTAAGCCGCTCTGAGACACCTTTGGGTAGTGAAGGGCGGGATATAAATCCAATCTCTTCTTCTTCTTCTTCTATAAATGTTGGTCGTTATCTGCCCCTCCCCCCCAATCAAAAAGGCTCAAGCAGAATCGGAGACATTGTGAAAGGCTGCTTCCACAGTGGGACTTCCACTGCTCCCAGCCTGGTGTCTTAGCATGAAATTAGAGGTGCAGAAAGCAGAGCCTTCTGGAAGGTAGATTCAGCCCTCAGTGCTGATCTTTTGATTCTCTTTGGGCAATGCTGCACTGGCTTTTCCCTCTGCTGTTTTACGAAATCCACATTGGAACAGGAATTCCCCTCTGCATTGCATGCTGCTTTCACTTTCTTTGATCATCGGGTTTTATGGTACCTTTTGCATAGATTTATGGCCATTTAGGGGTGACCTTGCAGTCAGTATGGCATTGCCCCAAGGTATTTGAATGTGGTTTTGAGCTGCACCTTTTCCTTCCAGTTGAGAAAATGTGGAACAAATGCTAGATGCAGAATCACCCTTTGTCTGCTTCCACGTGTTGACAATTTCCCATTGTGGACTTATTGCTGGTATGAATACAGAGCATTCACATAGGGAGTTTTCCATTCTTTCCTTCCTATACCCTCATGCCTCCCACTGTATAGCTGGAGGACTTTTAAAAAGAATAGGTAGTAGGTATATTGCTATAGTATTGTGACTCTACACTGATATACCTGCTACCAGCTTTTAAAAAGCCAGCTAAAAGCCTACCCGTGGCAGAAGGAAATGGATGCAATGGGGGCAGGAAGAGAAAATGATGTTGGATGTAAGTGGGGAAGGGTTTGATTCTCCACTTCTCCACACAAAGGCTGCTGGGAGACCTTGGACTGGTCACAGTTCTCTCATAATTCTCTCAGCCCCACCTACCTCACAAGGTGACTACTATGGGGAGAGGAGGGGAAGACGATTGTAAGTTGCTTTGAGACTCCTTAGGGTAGAGAAAAGCGAGGTATAAAAACCAACTCTTCTTCTTCTGGGTAGTGGCAGTAACAGCTCCATGCTGCTTTTACATGGGTGCTGCATAGAGTCACCACCACCACCACCAAGAGGAACCATCTCAAGCAGCTTCCAAGGGGCAGACAAAGGATCAGCTCTGAAAACAGTATTTCAAAGAAATAAAAAACAGCAAGCAAGTTACTTCTATTGGCCATTACTCACAGCATCTGGAAAACAATGGACCACAGTCAATGCTGAAAGCTCCTCTTGATGTCAGACAAATGCCAACGCAGCATAGGAGCTGTGGTTCAGAGACAGCTGGAAACTCACCTCAATCTCTACATAGTCATGGAGCTTTTTGCATGTGGCAGCAAAGGTTTCAGTAGTACCGAATTCAAAATACCACAGTTTATTCTTCATTCTGACAGAGAGAACATAGAGAAGGGGACATCAGAGAGGGAGATATTAATGAGAATGGGGGGGGGCACATGCTGTCCAACCTACTAATTGCTGAACTTGGTTTCTATTGCAAAAGATATGCAGCATTAATATGTAGAGAAGTGCCACTGGAAACAGCTAGGACAGACCATCTTTCTCCTCCCAGAAAACAGGACTCTTCTGCGATCAAACTAATCTGGCTGTATCATAAAACATACACAGGCAGTCTGCAATGCATGAGTTGGGAAAAGATTCAAGTATAATGAACAGAGGCAGCCAGTTCTGAAACATTAACAGAGGACCAAAGCTCCATGTGCATCAAATGAAGTTAGAGGGCTTATTAAGACAATTGGTGAAAGGACACTTTCATATCATTCTTGCCTGGTACCTCCAAAAATCCCACTTCAAACACAAGAACATGATATCCAATCCAGGTATAAGAGATGGCAGGGAGGAGACTTGCTGTGGAGGGATAGCCATACTGTTGTTGCTCTCCCCTTTAAATGTTTCTATATGCAGTAGATGCTGGACAGGCTGAGCACATAGCATCCAAACAGTGAAATAAAATTAATGTAAACAACTCATGTAATAGTAGGGCATTGCTGCAGGTGGGAAACTTGCTAGTGGCTGCCATTTTTTTTAAAAAAAGGAAAGAAGATTTCTACCACGTTGAAGTGGTATATTGAAGAATATGTCTCAGCTCCTAAAGGATTTAAAACAAAAACCTTGAAAAAGTTACACAGGCCCCTGCCACACGGCAGGGAAAACACAGGGGAAAGTGCGGCTTTTAAAAGCCGCACCAAAGTTGAGACACCGCGGCGGGATCCCACGGATCCCCTGAGCCACGGCGCGTCGCTCCCCGGCACGATCAGATGCCAGGGAGGAAGAGTCAGATGGGAGGGGGGAGGATGCCGAACTGCGCATGCGCGAGAATGCGCAGTTTGGATGGGGGCCGGGATGCGCCGGCGCAAGGACGCGCCGGCGATCTCACAGCCCAGATTGAAGCGCTCTACACCAAAGAACCACCTAGGTAGGTGGTTCTTTTTAGTGCGGGTTTTCGGACGGGAGGGACGGATCGGGGACGGGCAGGCAACGATTCCCAGATGTTGCTGTGGGATCGCGCCCGTTTGCTCCGCCCCCGATCCGTCCCGCTCCCGGCCCAAAACCCCTAGTGTGGACAGGGCCACAGAAGCCTGGGTACTGGGCAGAAAAAAGTGTCACCCCTCACCATTCACAGCCAGCTACATTTCACTGGGTAACCAAGATTGTGGTGGGTATCCTATCTGTGGGAAGAGTAACGTATTTCTAGGAGCAAAATATAGCATACCTAGAACAAGGAAAATATGTTATTTTGAGCAAAAGGAGAAGAAACAATGACGGCTGAATTACATGCAACAAATTGGTCATAACAGCGTACTTAACTGGGCTAATCTTAAAAAATCTTATTTATTTTATTTGCTAAATTTTTACCCAATGGGGATTCAAAGTGGCTTACATCATTCTTCTGTCCTTAGTTGTATCATTAATTATTTGGAAGGCTCCAAGGAAGATGGCTGCTCTCTAATCAAAGTTCGAGTTTAGTGGCACCTTTAAGACCAACAAAGTTTTATTCAAGGTATAAGCTTTCGTGTGCATGTACACTTCTTCAGATACAATGAACTGGAAATTACCAGTCCATACATACAGGTAGAGGGTAAGCAGCAAATTAGCATACAGCATAATGAAGATGTTTAACAGATTCAAGGACCAAACAGGAATAACAAGCTTAGTTTATATGGTTACCATTTGTTCTTTGCAAGAAAACAGCTACTTTGAAGTCACCCATTAAATGTCCTGGAAGGCTGAAGTATTCTCCAACAGGTTTCTCAGTCTTGTGATTCTTGATGTCAGATTTGGGTCCATTTATCCTTTGGCATAGGGTTTGACCTGTTTACCCTATGTAGAGAACCAAAGGGCATTGTTGGCATTTAAAGGCATATACAGTGTTGGAAGATGAGCAAGTGAATAAGCCTGAGGTGGTGTAGTTGATGTTGTCAGGTCCAGTGATTGTGTTGTCTGGGTGTATGTGGCATGTGGCTCAAAAATGATGGTCACAGTCACAGAACAGACCGAAAAAAGAAGAAACTGTGAGGTAACTGCGCTAGAGAATATTTAAATAATGATCACAAAATTTATACAAAAATGTGTACCAAAAATCTACATATATAAATGCACAAAGGCAGTTGAAAATGGTGTAATTGACGATGATCTCCGGAATGTTCTATCGTTTCGATACTATTCTTCTTCCGAATGTGGATGAAAGCCTTAATAAATCATATGCAATAACAATATTATGTGAAGAATCTCTGGTACATGTACATACAAAAATTCAATAAAAAGATTTTTTCAAGCATTCCGAAGATCATCGTCAATTACACCATTTTCAACTGCCTTCGTGCATTTATATATGTAGATTTTTTGTACACATTTTGGTATAAATTTTGTGATCGTTATTTAAATATTCTCTAGCGCAGTTACCTCACAGTTTCTTCTTTTTTCGGTCTGGGTGTATGTGGCACCAAAGTTGGCATCTGGGTTTACTGCAAGCTCTGGTACCAATGTCTATATTCAAACAAGATGTTGTATTACTGTGGGTGAGGAGTTGTTTGAATGGGTGGCCTCAAAGTTGCTGTTTTATTGCAAAGGAACTTCAGGAACAGACTAGAAAGGGAAATTGCTGAGTTACAAGTTATTACAGCACTCAAAACAATGGAAAACAATGCAGTTTCTTATCTCACTACATATGCTAACCTCATTCAATCCTTACACACACACACACACAAACACACACACATATATATATCCTCTTTATTTTATTTCTTATTGGGAACAGTAGATTAGAATAGTAGATTGTAATGTAATGAATAATAGAATGTAATGTAATTTGGAATGGTAGACTGGAATGTATTTCTCTGGCCTGGGGAACAGGGGAAATACTCTACACAGCCAATCACCCCACTTCAAAGAAGAAGATGCAGTAAGGTCGCCTCCAAGCTTGAGAGGAGACAGATGGAGCGTAACAACAGGGTCTCAGTTAATTATTCTCAACATTCCACAATTAAGGATATATCTGCCCATCAATCTCCAATTTTGACATATTTATTTCCTTTACTATGTTTTCCCCTGGAATTAAACCCAAACAAATGGTAACCATATTGGCTAAGCTTGTTATTCCTGTTTGGTCCTTCCATCTATTAACCATCTTCATTATGCTCTATGCTAATTTACTGCTCACCCTTTACCTATATGTCTGGACCGGTAACTTCCATTTCATTGTATCTGAAGATGTATGTGTGTGCACATGAAAGGTTATACCTTGAATAAAACTTTGTTGGTCTTAAAAGGGCCACTGGACCCAAACTGTGTTCTGCTGCTTCAGACCAACATGGCTACCTACCTGAATCTATGCTCTCTAATCAGTTACTGAGTACCACTAAGGTAGCTGGAGGTAGGTGCCATGTTGGAAGCAACTAGGCTAAATTCATGCTCTGGGCTGAGCTAGAAGCACCACAAAAGGCAGCTGTCCAGATAGCATCTTGATAGCTATGCCAGAAACTCAAACTCAGCATGATCATGCTCACTCAGGCAGAGAACAACTTGGGCTTCCTGCATATTGTTTACAATGCAGCCAATACTTCAAAAGCAATAATGGGTTCACTAGGAGCTTCCATTCACTGGAGGGGTAGAGGAGGGCAGTCATTTTAGCTTCTTAGTTGTCCTCCAAGAGACGGGGGGTGGGGGGACATGGGAACATGAGGTTCTCTCCTGAATTCCAGTCTGCCAGGTCATGCAGCTGAGCTTCCTTGCTCCATACCTCTGGAGTGGCAGCTTTTTCATTTCCTCCTAGAGACAGACAGCAGGTGCAATAGCAGCAGGGAATTGATATTTATATCTCCTTAAGAGCTCTTGGTTTAAGTTGGTGTTTAAGACTCTGGCTTCAATTAGTAAGATGGGTGTTTTTATAAGGACTGTACAAAGTCAAATTCCAAACGCAAAACCAAAATAAAATAAAATAAACAGAGAGAAACCAACATTTAAAAACTTCAAAACATTTAAAAAATGCAAAATCTGCTGCATTTCAAATGTGTGCAAAATATTGTGAGACAGACTTGACAAGAATGATAAAGCCTGGCCCCAGGAGGGGCTTTCCTTCTGCATGGACAGCAGGAAGCCCCCACAGTAAAGAGGAGAGTCCAGACAACATTGGGCCCAATATGGGCACAACGTTTATGGAACCTGTTCCTTCCTTCCCCATCCTTTTCACTGGAATAAAATACAAACCTCATTTTCTCTAGTCTAAAGGGGAAACTGTGGGATGGCTGTGGGTGGAATATCCATCTGGACACTCTAGTTACCGGTCTCCAGGTGGGGCCTGGAATTCTCCTGATATTACAACCGATTTCCAGACTACAAAGCTCAGTTCCCCTTGGAGAAAATGTCACCTTGGATAACCGGCTCTGCAGCATTATATCCCCACTGAGTGAGCTCACTCCCCTCCCCAGGGGGATGGCTGCTCCTGGGGGGCAGCAGCAGGGAAACCTGCCGTGTGGAAGCCTTGTTGCCAGTGTGCTATATCAGCAGCATGCCAGCTATGGGGAAACTGCACAGTGCAGAAAACACTGGCCACAATGAGCTTATATATCTGTTGGGTTTGGCCTCATTTGAACGTCACACCCTCCCCAGAATAGCAGGTGACACCAGAAGCAGAGCAGCCACGCTGGCTGGCCCAGGAGGCAAGTGACGCTCTTGCTGTCTCTCCCATCTCCCATCAGGCTGAGTATTATCTGAACTGGAAATACACGGTTATATAATGTTACGGCAAAGGATGAGATGGTTAGACAGTGTCATTGATGCAACAAACATGAAATTGAGCAAGCTTCAGAGGACAGTGGAAGACAGGAGGGCCTGGCGTGATGTGGTCCATGGGGTCGCGAAGAGTCGGAC